GGAAATGATCTATAGATGGTATATCACACCAGTGAAAAAGGCAAAGATGTTTAGGAAAGAAAATAACAGATGTTGGAGATGTAAGGAAAAGGAAGGAACATTTTATCATATGTGGTGGGAATGCAAATGCATTAAAAATTATTGGGAAATGATATACAATGAATTGAAAAAAATGTTCAAAATGAATTTTGTTAAACATCCTGAATCGTTAGGTATTTCAAATCAAGAGCTACCAAAAGAAAAATGGACATTATTTATGTATGCTACGACAGCGAATCTTGATTGCACAATACTGGAAGATGGAAGAAATACCATCAAAAGAACAATGGAAGAAAAACTGATGAACTATGCAGAATTGGCTAAGCCAACAGACAAACTATGAGAGAAGGACAAATATATACTGCATATATATATATATATGTGCAGTAAATAAAATATGCCATTTTGTACACGTGACTTGGCTGGAAAACGGCATTTCAACATTTAGAGAAGTGTGAATTTCAATGGATGGCTGCATTTTGGTTTGCATATGTTTCGGAAAGCATGAATTTGATAGATTCGCCTTTAAATGCACACTGAACTGAATTTATCCCAGCTCCACTCCTTATCCAGCCTTCCCTGTGCCTTTGCTCTCCTCTTTAGTTGACTTTTTTCCATTTTTATTTTTTACAGTTCCCATCTTCCTTTGCCTAGCAGGAACAAACTCCCCTAGCAACCAACTATCTGAAAATGGCATTTGTTTCCTTTATGGCAGACTTGCGCTTGTTAGCTGGTCTCTGCTGAATAAAATGCTTTAATGGGCCTCTGTGAATGAGAGCCAGAGAGAGGGAAGGAGCAAAGAGGGGCAAGGACAACAGCCTCATTGGGTATTCCCAGGTTGTAAAGGGAAAAAGAGAATAGGCTTGTCCAGCAGGCCTGGCACAGCCAACGCTTCTGTAAATGCCGCTTTGGAGCACTGAGGACTGCATACAAATGATGGAGTCTCAGAAGCTTGAGGATGGCAGGATCAGGGATGATATGTCTGCAGGAGTGCAGGAAGGGAGGTCAGAATGCCAGGCTCATCTGCAAGCGTTGAATTGTGAGCAAGGAGGGCCCTATGGCATCGCCCTGCGTGTAGCGTTGCCATACTTCAAAAAGCAAAATTCCTGACACCTGCAAAGTTGTTGAGTATGATTTAGGACTGTCTTGCCAGAGTGGTGCATGCTCTAGTTATCTCCCGCTTGGACTACTGTAATACACTCTACGTGGGGCTACCTTTGAAGGTGACCCGGAAACTGCAATTAATCCAGAATGCGGCAACTAGACTGGTGACTGGGAGTGGCCGTCAGGACCACATAACACTGGTCCTGAGAGATCTGCATAGGCTCCCAGTATGTTTCCGAGCACAATTCAAAGTGTTGGTGCTGACCTTTAAAGCCCTAAACGGCCTCGGTCCTAAATACCTGAAGGAGCGTCTCCACCCCCATCGTTCAGCCCGGACACTGAGATCCAGCGCCAAGGGCCTTCTGGCGGTTCCCTCATTACGAGAAGTGAGGTTACTGGGAACCAGACAGAGGGCCTTCTCGGTAGTGGCCCCCGCCCTGTGGAACGCCCTTCCTTCAGATGTGAAGGAAATAAGCAGCTATCTTCTCTTTAAAAGACATCTGAAGGCAGCCCTGTTTAGGGAAGTTTTTAATATTTGATGCTGTATTGTTTTTAACACTCGATTGGAAGCCGCCCAGAGTGGCTGCAGAAACTCAGCCAGATGGGAGGGGTATAAATAATAAATTATTATTATTATTATTATTAGGAAAACCCCAAAATTGTTGAGCTTTTTAAAGGAAACCACCAAAGTTGTTGAGCTTCCGGCTGCTTTTTCCATCATATTGCCATATATCCAGGTTTCCCCTGACATTTTGCCACTTTGGTAAAATTTGCTGCTTTGGGAAAATTCAACCCTGATGTCATTTTTACACCTGAAAACAAGGACATGTCAGGGATTTTCTTGACGTATGGCAAGACTGTATGTAGTTCAACAACATTTGGACGGCCACAGGCTTCCCACTCGGGCAGATTCCTGCCTGTCTCAATAACTCCCAAAACAGGAACAGAGACCCCTTTTCAGCCATACTTGGCAACCTTCTGAGGGACACAGGCCAGAGATGGGTTGGCCGGGGCAAAAGCATGGAGAACCAAGAATGTGAATTGTACCTGTGCACAGTAGGCTAGTTTCTATACACACTCGCCCACCTCTCGCTATCCACCATCCATGATCCAAGCAGGATCAGAGTTCAAAATCACATTAAGACGGCGCAAAAAAAGAAGAAGGGTGCAATGCAACACTGCTGGAGAGGGGGAAAGAGGCCTGGAGGTTTGCATTTGGGCCTTGTGTTCCCCATGCTTCTCCCAAAATTGGCAGCCCCAAATCCTCCCCAAAGAGAACAGAGAATAGTTTGCAAAGGAAGGGCTGGTAGCCATGTTCACTGCAGAGCTTACGTGAGTGCCGATGGAGACAACTTTAACAAATAAGGTAGGCTTTATGTGTATTGATTATCCATTCAGTCTCTGGCAGAGGAAGGTGCATGTGCTCTTATGGGGAGTGTCTGTGGCCAGTGATGATAAAGAGAGATGGCTGTCCATGAATGCATCTTCTTCCAGATGCTGCCAATGAACAAAAACATATGTATATGTTCTCTCACTATCTATAGCATCTCTGATCTAAGTAGGAGGAAGGCAGTCAAAGGACTTACCCATCCTACCGATCTTAAATGGACTCACTCATTCTGACCTCCCCCTGCCAAAGACCCTTGAAGTTGGAAGTCACTGTCTTGATATACCTCAGGGAGGCGGCCTTCAAGGTATCTGAACCACACACCTGGCTGGACTTTGAGATCACCAGGAGATGCGCCTTCTCACAGCACCCCAGATCTCTGAGATGTGGCATGTGGTGCAGACCTACGTTCAGTGAAGGGTCAGAATTGGAGCAAACTCATAAATTCATAGATTTGGGCTGGAAATAACAAGAAGTAGCTTCCTTGTGAGGTCAGCCTGGCGATGGCTCACTGTGGGGTGGGCCAGAAATTCCCTACCATTGGTGAAAGGAATTGCAGTTCTTTTAAATTAAGCTTTTTCTAAATTGCCATCTATGCATACAAAATTGCATATGCAAAACTGTGTCTGCTTTTTGTTGATTCCCTCCCCCCCCCTTTTTGGTGATGTGTATAAGGAGGCAACCTACCTTTGGTAGCCTTCCCTTCCATGGACTATTGCAGCCCCTTTTAAAGGTCACTGAATATTTACTTATTTAATTTCCATGCTGCCCTTCATCCGAGGATCACAGGGCGGTTTACAATATAAAATCACAAAAATATACACCACAGTAACAAACGAAGACAAAACCCCCCAGTTTAAATGGTTCAAAAGATTGTTTAATTTGCCCAAAACTTGGGAGAAGAGAAATGTTTTTGCCAGCCGCCTAAAAATATGTAACGAAGGTGCCAGGCGAGCCTCCCTGGGGAGAGCATTGCACAAGCGGGGAATGGGTCTGTGCTGAGCATTCCTGCAGGATTTCAAAAAGGGGCCTTTCTTGGCCCTATGCAGAGAGGTAAGGGATTGAACCTGGGACCTTCTGCGCGCAAAGCACTTGCTCTGCCTCTGAGCTGCATTCCCTTCTCCTAACAAAGCGCTTAACAAATCCAATCATTTGCTGTTGTGCTGCCGCTGCTGTTTCCTGTGGGTGACGTATTGTATCACTGGCCAAACTCCTGAATCTTTCCATCTTTCCTCCCCTTTTTTCGTGTACAGCTGTGCCAAATTATGATTACTGATACCTAAATGCACAGGATCTCACACTTTATTCTGTGGCACTTTCACAAAGTTACATCTGATGGAGTTGCAGTTGCCAGCAAAAGCGCACGCCAGCTCTGCTCAGCAAAATATAGGATAAAATTAATTTTTTAGACACCACGCTGGTTGCTACTTCCAATGTGCAAAAGCATCTTTGCCAAGTGAGAGCTTGAAGTCTGAAACGAGTTCCCATCTCGTATGCCATGAGGCATCGTACTCTTCCCAGCAGGGCCAGCCTAGGGCGTTTTGCAGCTGGAGGCAGAACAGAAACTGCCACCCTCCCACCTCCTCTTCCTCTTCCTTTTCCGGAGGCAACTGGAGCACCCTGGAGAAGCCCTGGCATGCTAAAGCAGTGGGGTAGAAAAAGGGAGCCTGGAGCGGAGCAAGGAACAGTGATGGGGGTCCGGAAAAGAACAGAAGGCAGTGAGTGGGGTGCTCCTGCACTCCCTGGGTCTGCTGCCCCAACCAGCTGTTCCCAGGCTGCCACCTGAAACAACTGCCTCACCAAGTCTCCTGGCAGTGCTTATTTTATATATATATAGAAAAAATGATGTTGGTACTCATCATGAAGTTGTTACACTAACTGACACACTTTTGGCGGGGAAGGTGCCAGTACTGTGTACCCTTGAGTACCTCTAGAAAAAAAGCACTGCCTCCCAGCCACTTATGGGTAAGATGATAAGGGACATCACTGGTCCATCTAGACAGGTATGGTCCACACAGGCCAGCTGAGATTCTTGGGCAGAAGTTACCAGCAATGGCCCATGAGCTGGGATGGTGATGGGGTGGCAGTCCTGTGCTCACCAAGATGGGGATGGGACAAGGCAGTGGCAAAGTCAGAGGAACTCCGGGTTGGCCAACTCACCACGGCCAACTCAGAGCTCTCCTGACCTCACCACAGGCATGTGCCTGCAGAGCCACAACTAACCCGGAGCTCTCCTGAACTTATCACTGTTCCGCCCCACCCTATTGCTGCCCCAGAGAACAGCAGCACTTTTTCCACTGGGAAGGCACTGCTGCTGCTCTGCCCCCTTCATGGGCCACTGCTGGAAGTTGCTGCTTCCAACAGTCCTGCTGTTTCGAACTCTTTAAGTGAAAATGCCTTAAAATGGGTGCAAAGCTTGTGAAAAGCTATAGCCTCTCCTTGAGACCTGTGGGACCTATGGGATACTCACTACTGAGCAGAGTCGTTGAGCTGATATTCTCGGGACCGGTTGAAGCATTCTTGGAGGCCAGAGTCTGCCCAAAGTCTCATCATTGCTGAAAGGAGTTCTGGAGAGAAGGGCTCTGTGTCCTCCATCCGACTGACAACGTCACAAACCATCTTTGCATCAGCCTGGAGAGAAAGAGAGAAGAAGCGGGACATGTCATATTTGCACAGTGTTGAAGAATCCACAGGAAGGAAGTATGCAAAAGGTGGGAAAACATTCAATTTCTTAAACCATTCATTTTTCCTACAAAACTCATTTGTTTTAGTTTCATGTAGTTAGAAAGGCACTCATTATCTGAAGAATTACCACCAGCTTTTGTCACTCCCACTCATTTCCCACTGATACTCATGTGAGTCTCTGGTGACCCACTAATTGTGAATTTGGAAGCAAGTACAGAATTTCACACTTGTTGTTTTGCATTAGAAATGAAGTTTCTAGTCCTTAAGGATATAAAAATAGGCACAGAAGGGTGTGTGAGCAATGCCTTGTGAGATTTTAAAATAGCCTGGGGAGTCTAGAGAGAACTTCTGAGGTTTCAGGGTAGCATCAGTGCCCTGCATAACTCTGTGCCCTTCTACCCAAGCCCTACAGATGTGGGATACATTGGACCAAGTAAGGAAATACATGCAAATTTGCTGACGTTTCACAATTGATGGTGATGGTGGTGGTGTCAACTGCAGCCCAAATAAGGTTGTTCCCTTAATGTGGACAGCATTATCGATGAGCATATGTTGCTTCACCTCTGCCAGGAGAACAAAGGAGGAATCGATAGTGCCTGTTGTATGCATACTTAAACTCTGGAATAATAATACTATAACAACCAATCACCCATTTACTGAGCACTCATCCTGATTTGCTTGCAGGGAGATTAGTCAATTATTCCCCACTCCCCACTGTGTTTCCCCACCACTTTCCTTATTGCAAGAAGTCTGATTTTGCAGGGCAAGCAGGTTTGCGGTGCAAGAGCTCCAATCAACTATAATGGTGCAAACTAAATTTGCATGTATGCAATTGAATCTTACCCCCAAATAGCAACAATTTGGAAGTTCTCTACATTAACTTTTCTTATCCATCAGATATCTGGTTGCTAATATACATAATCAGAATATTCATTCTCTCTCTCTCTCTCTCTCTCTCCTCCCCCCATCTTCCTTCTTCTGTTTTCTACCTTTGAAGCATGACTGCAGCTTTTCCTTTTCTGGCAAGACCTCCACACAGTGCTGTAGCTCTGCCGAGGAAGCTGTTTGCTAGAATGCATCAATTTGTTTTCTTCAAACTGCAGAAACACACTGTTGGAAGGGGCAGGTGCTTGTTCGCCAGCAATGGGTTGGGTGCACATGCCTCTCAAGCCAAGCAGTGACACGGTGTAATTTATTGCGGCGCTACTATAATTTGGGGGAACTGCATGCCAACGAAAATACGATGGCAATTGATGACAATGATCCTGTGGTCAGGAGTTGGCAATGTAAGGCCCCACAGCCTGTGTCTTGCTTGCCAAAGCTTTCCCCATACAATGACTTAAAAGGAGGATGAGCCATTGCAGAGCAGCAATGCAGGTCTGGGGAGAGCCTGGTTGAGACAGATAGGCTGCCTACCTATACTCTAGTCCGGTGATTCCCAAACTCTCCCTGCCCCAGATCACTTGCTGAGGGTTGAAGAGGTCTGCTTAATGATTTTTCTGTTTGTTGTAACAATTGTAATGAGCTGCGCTAGACGCTGTATAGCTTTTCAAAACAATGTCATTTTAAAAATAGAATTTTAACTTGTAAGCAAAAGAGATATACACAATAAATTAACTTCTTATTTTTTTAAAAAAGAGAGCCTTACAAAACAACTTTGCAGCCAGGAAGAGAACTTTACGGCTTTTAACTGGATGAAGATTCAACTCATGGGTAGGCAAACTAAGGCCCGGGGGCAGGATCCAGCCCAATCGCCTTCTCAGTCTGGCCTGTGGACGTCTGGGAAACAGCGTGTTTTTACATGAGTAGAATGTGTCTTTTTATTTAAAATGCACCTCTGGGTTATTTGTGGGGCCTGCCTGGTGTTTTTACTTGAGTAGAATGTGTGCTTTTATTTAAAATGCATCTCTGGGTTATTTGTGGGGCATAGGAATTCATTCATTTCCCCCCCTTCAGAATATAGTCCATCCCCCCACAAGGTCCGAGGGACAGTGGACTGGTCCCCTGCTGAAAAAGTTTGCTGACCCCTGATTCAACTCCTTCATTATAGTCTCCCCTTAACTTTGCTGGCAATCTTCTCCACTCCTTTCAAGTGCCTCCTCCTCCTATCAGTTCCTCTTTAACTTTTGGACAGACACTCCCCCCCCCCCAGCACACACACACACACACACACACACACACACTAACCCCCCCCCAACAAGCTAATGAAGATTAAGCATGCTTGAATGCCCAGTGTCAGTCGGAAAAGAGAACTGGAAAACGGAGAGTTGATATGCAAACAGAAAGGCAACTGCTTGGAGGAGCACGTAGCTGGCTGGCTGGAAACCAGGAGCACTCTTCTTAGGAAGTGAGGATACACTGCAACATTTTGTCGCAGGTCACGCTTGAATGCTAGCAGGTCTCTATAAGCAAAACAGAATCACAGAACTGTAGAGTTTGAAGGGACTCCAAGGGCCATTTAGCCCAACTCTTTGCAATGCAGGAATCACAACTAAAGAATTTCTGACAGGTGGCCATCTACTTGAAAATCTCCAAGGAAGGAGAGTCCACCACCTTCTGAGGGAGTTTCTTTCACTGTCAAAGTGAAAACCTCTTCTTAATGTCCTTTATTGTAATTTGAATCCTCTGGTTTGGGTCCTCCCCTCTGGAGCAGCAGAAAACAAGCTTGCTCCATCCCCATGTGACAATCCTTTAGATATTTGAAGATGGCTATCATATCACCTCTCAGTCTCTCCTTCTTCAGTCTAAACATACCCAACTTCCTCAGCTGTTCCTCATAAGGCTTGGTTTCCAGACCCTCTGTCATCTTAGTTGTCCTCCTTTAAGCATGTTGCAGCTTGTCAATATCCTTAAATTGTGGTGCCCAGAACTGGACACAGTATTCTAGGTGGGGTCTGTCCAATGCAGAATAGAGCAGTACTGCAGGCAGTGACAATTTTGTGATGCACAAGCCCACCCTGCCTCCATTCCAACCTTGTTCTGCCCTTTTCCAGGTCCAAAAGGACCCACACGCCGGCGGTTGTGCATCAATTGGACATGTGCAAAATGGTCCACAGCTATATTACTTCCCTTGATCTGGGCACTAAACTTCTGTTGATGCAGCCTAGAATAGAATTAGCTTTTTTGCGGCCGCATCACGTTGTTGACTCATGTTAACAATGCTGTCTGCGGCCTTGGTGTACCTCAAGGAGTCCTTCACTTGTAATAGCCTGCCACACATGTTTCTGCTGGCCCCATGTAGGCAGTTTGGGGCATCAGTCAGCAGGTTGTTGGCTGTTCTTTCTACAGTTGCTAAAAGTTCTGGGCTTCAGACTGAAGTGTTCAAGGAAGATGGTTGGGAAGAGTGAGAGGAGAAGGCAAAAATGTGTGATGAGTTGCTTTGGGAGGGGCTGATATGCAAGCTTGTGGTCCTGGAGGCAATCTGGCTGTCAGGATATCAGTTCTTTAAGAACCAACATGTCCTTAAGGACTTGTCCTCAATCCTTCAACTTGCACACGTGCTTAAACAAGTGCTGTGCCAAAATCCATCCTCCTGTTTCTCAATCTTTTCCTCCCCTTGCATTTTTCTGTCTTGTTCTCAAAATGTCGGTGGGGTTTCAAGCTTATCTTATCGTTGTGAGGTGGCCAAGACTGATGCACATTTTCTTTCTTTCCAGCAAAAAATGACTCCAGGCCTCTGCAGCCTTCCCACCCACGCTTCCTGATCTGAAAAAAGTCCCAGGAGAGGGCTTACCCCATGCTGCCTTCTCCTGGGCTTTAACTGAAGTACAGATAGCCAGGAGGAAGCAATGTAATGTGGAAAGCTGGTGAGACGGTTGTGCAAAGGAAAGGAAAGACACTCACCAGCTCCCTTGGCCACCTTGACATTCAAGCAAATGCAGCAGAAACCCCAAACTCTGTTCCACAGAATGTCACTGTTTTTGCTTTGATAATTTTCAAGTGTGATTTCTTTTTGGAATTAATTGATGAAGAGTGGGTTAAAAAAATATATTGGGAAATTTCCCTCTGGTGCAGCACTCACTTTGACGACATTGGACTAAATGCATGTCTATATCAATTTGCATTAAAAAAATACTTTCTCTAAATAGCTTCAGTGAGGTACACGGATACTTCACAGTTGTGTGCGTGATATTCTGCCTTCAAATATTGCATTTTACAACCTTTGAATGTTAATTCCTTCTTTCTCTTGTCATCGTTGTTTCTGTGTTATTCTTGTTGCAGTTAAGGATGGCTGTCAAACATCGCATCTCCCCCCGCCCCCCCCCCCCGGGAGCACCGTGCTTTTTGACGCCGTCATTTCACCCGCTCGGAAGCCAGTCACGTGGCCCTATTTTACCCATACATGTGCACCAGTGGATCTCTTGGCAGACGGGAGATGGATGTGTGACGCGGTTCTGTCGAAAAGCATGGCACTTGCAATGCTGTGAGGAGACATGAACGTTCCCTCCTGGTGGTGCTATTACCATAGCAGAGGCTCATTCATGCACGCAAGTCATTATTTGGTAATGCTGCCATCGTATGCAGAGAGGAACCTGCCCCAAGTGTATAGTAATCGGGCACAGAGAAACCAAACATTGTGCGTCTTCACGAGCCCTTAGCTAAGGCCATTGGGGGCACTTTTGCTGCTTTCCCTCCCACAGCTATATTTTAGAATGTGCCCAGCACTTTAAAATTAGGTCAGGAATGAGAGGTTGGCTGATCCAAGTAAGTCCTTCCATGGGAGGAGGCGGTTTTTGCCGATTCCTCCTCCTACCTTGCTCTACTGCCCACTTGGTTCTGGGCGCTCCCCTATCCCTAAAGAGCAGGTTTTTCTGGTGTGGCAAAGGGAATGAGAAGCTGAGACTTAAGGCCACTCCATTCTGTGAGCAGAATCTCACTTAGGGATCTTTGGGTCCATCCCAGGCTCACAGGGAACCGGTGCACAATTTGAGGGCACTCTCACATCC